GACCAGTGTGGGAAAAATGAAATTATAATATTCACAGATCTCTCTGGCTGCCCAGGCCAGCAGAGTGTCAGCCTGCGGAAGATAAGGCAAAGGCAGTTCGGTTCAACACTGAACTTAGTAGTCAGTGTTGGTCCAAACTCCAAGAGTTTATGTTAGGTATATGTAAGCATAGCACAATTTGGAAAAAAGTTTTTCTGTTGATAATTAACTCAATTCCTTATGTGCGACAGAGCTTAAAACATAACTGCATTGAAACTCTTCCCATGTAAGGGGCAAATGACCTCTTCCATAAGGATAGGTTCTGTATTAACTGAGAAAACAGCCTGAAGTTAAGGGTCTGGGGGAAGATAGGCTTTCGGGTTATCTGAGACAAACAAGCTCAAGATGAGGCGCTGGGGGATTCTGCTGTGGTCGCAGCCCTTTGTGCCAGCCTCCTGGGCCGAAACAGCTGACATCTCTGTTTGAAGAGACGCCCAGTGCTTGGCACTCCTGCTCCCCTAGGGCTTATCTGTGAGCACAAGGACCTGCACGCCCCCCACAGAAGTGGCATTGAACCTCTGCTTTTTAATTTAGTTTTCTTTTTGCATGAGGTCTCAAACTTGTGATCTTGATGTTTCAGCCTCCTAAGTGCCTTGAGTTAAGGTGTGGACCACTTCTTCCAGCTTCAGTATTTCTTTTTAAACATTGAGACAGGATCTCAGTATGTTGCCTGGACTGGCCTTGAAGTTTTGATCCAGCTGTGTCTGGGGTTGCAATGTGTGCCACCAAGCCTGATGCAACCTCTGTTTTATACTGTCTTTTCTTGTCTTTCATATGAATCCTGTCATTTATTTATTTATTTTTCTATCTATCTATCTATATCTATCTATCTATCTATCTATCTATCTATCTATCTATCTATCTATCTATCTATCTATCTTTGTGGAGCTTGACCACAGGGTTCTCAGGAATGCAATTTTTTTCTATTTTTAAGATTGAGTCAAAAGCTGCTTGTAAAATGGAGTCTTGCAGGGGAAGGCACAGCCTGAAAAACTACTTTTACATAATATAGAGGAACTTGGAGCAGGCAGTAGCCTGACTTTGACCCCCACCCCCTTTCTTTTTTGCTACCATCATACTTGCAGCACAGACTGGCCTTAGATTTGCTCTAATCCTCCTGCCTCAGCTTTCAATTACCAGTGGCCAGTGGCCAGCTTTCAGTGGCCAGTCTCAGAGTCCCCGTGCAGACAGATCTAAGTGCAGAGGCTTCAGATGCCACATGTCTCAGGAGCACAGTAGGGACACAGCAGGCACACAGTAGAACTTCATACGCTCACCTCCAAATTTCTAGTTTTTGGTATTGTCCAACTAATTGGGCATTAGTTTTGTGCTGTCAGGGTTTGCAGCTAAGGGCTGGTTCATTAGCCTGTCAATGCCATGTTGTAGCTAGTCATTAGCATATCAAAGCCTGCCTTGGGGTTGGCTTCCTTCTGAGCTGCTGTTGGCTGGCACTGCATTATTCCAAGTCACACAAAATGGTTTCATTTTTGTTCCTGTTAAGTCTGAAATCACCGCACAGAGACCACCACTCACATATGCAATTGGCAGGAGTGTTTAATTTCGAGAAAACTTGCATGTAGGGGTCAAACCATTTTACAAAATGGCGACTCTAGACAAAGGCTCTCAGGCCTTTTTATAGGAAACTAGGGGGATTCTAGCAAGGCTTAGGTAATCTAAAACTGCATTGGTGGGAGCCAGGGAAATTACAAGGGTCGATTCCTAATTGGCTTGTGTCCAGGTGGTCATGGCTGCATTGCTGTGCCAAGATGTTTAACTACAGGATGAGATGAGGCTGCCCAGCACAGATGCCCCCTCCTGAGACAAGATACTTTCCCATTCTTGCAGTTATCTCCAGGCTGTTCCTTGGGTAGGAGATTTTATGGTCTTGTCCTGGAATTGGTGACCTATGACCTAGTTTCTGGAACTGATGACTTTTTTTTTTTTTAATCAGGGCTGGTCCTAAAGTGGAGACACATTGGAGTTTATGTCATCCTCTCAGTTCCTGACAGTGAGAAAACAGGGAAGGTATAGAAAATAATGGTGTTGGCTTTTAGCCTAATTAGCAGATGAAGAGTGTGGGAGAAATTCTTCCTTGTGCAGTAGCATTAGGGATGAGACACAGGGTTCTGTTCTGAAATTGCCTTTTATTTCACAGGACTAATAGATGGAGTTTTAGGGGTATCTGGGTTGGGTCCCAAATATCAGCCAAATAGGGATTATGTTATATGTATGTCTACTTTGCATTCTTTTTAAGTATACCATGTTAAGATTGTTATATGTTAATGTATAGAAATCTTTTTTTCGTTTTTTTTTATATGTGCATATGTACATGTGTCTGTGAGCGCCTGTGTGGGTGGGCCATGTGCATGTGTGTGGAGGCTAGAGTTCGTGGCTTGCCTTCCTCCAATGATCTGTTTACTGAGGCAAGGCGACTAAATTGGGTTCTCAGATTGGGCTAATCTAGCTAGCCAGTTTACCCTGAGAATCCCCTGTTTTTGCCTCCTAAATTTAGGGATTACATGTAGGTTGCCATGCCTATCCAGCTTTTTTGTTTGTTTTGTTTTTGTGTTTGGGGTTTCTCTATGTAGCCCTGGCTGTCTTAGAACTAGCTCTGTAGACCAGGCTGGCCTTGAACTCGTAGATATCTGCCTGCTTCTGCTGGGATTAAAGGTGTGCCTAGATGGGTGGTGGGGAAACGGAACTCTGGTTTTCATGCTTAAGCGACTGCTTTATTGTCTGAACCGTCTCCACAGCCATTTTGTCTCTTGACACAGCGTCTTGTTATATGTAGCCCAAGTATGTAGTCCGCTCTGGCCTTAAACTTGTGCTCTCCCCAGCCCTGGGCAAGTAAGCCACCACACCCAGCTCTTAGTCTTTTTTAAATTTTGTTTTGTTTGTTTGTTTTGGACAGGTAATACATTTAAAAATTGTTGCATGTTTTCAGGGTCATTGATCTCATTTTACATGTTTACTGTCTAGCACTCAGGATAATCGTGAGTTGGAGGCCAGTCTGGGCTACCTTGGGAGTTTGGGCTACATAGGGAGATCCTATCTCAAGTCAGCAAGAAAGAGCCAAAAAAATGAGAATTCAGCAAGTTAAATTTGCTTCTTTGTTATAAAGTTGAAAACAAGGTAAGCAACTTCAGAGGCTGGGCTATAGATAAAGGAATAGCACGGTGCAGCAGTCCTGAAGCCCTTGTGCACCAGGAGACATCTTTGTAGGGTTTCTGTGCATTGCAGCTTTCTACAAAGCAGCTGGATCGAGAACCACCTGTGTATTCTTTGGGTCTTGTGCTGAGCTCAGGAACATTTTGTATAGGTTTGGTTAATTGCTCTATGGACTCACTCTTACTTTGTAAACATTAAGTGTGTATGTGTGTGTGTATGTGTGTGTGTATGTAGTCTTTGGCAGTTGGTTCTCTTCTTCCACTGTGTGGATCCCAGGGATCAAACTCAGCTCATCATGGTTGGCATCACATGCCTTCATTGTTAGGATTGTGCAGCAAAGTTACACGGGTTCACAAATTGCGCCATGCGACTGGTTCCATGTGGGAGGTTTATTAAGGGAAGGGAGAAGGGGCCACAGAGACCACCTCTGGGTAGGGTGAGAAAGAGACAGGGTGGTGAGAGAGAGAGGGTGGTAGTGGTGCGAAGTTCTCTTATAACGTGACCCAGAGCATGTGCAGGTGGTTTCAGGTAGTCCGTAGGTGGCCTCACAGATGCCTGATGTCCTGTTCGTCAGGCCCCTGGGAGCTGGCCGTAGAGATGCCTGCTTATGGATCCCAATATTCACTGCATAAACTATTTTGCCAGCCTTTGACTGAATCAAATATGTTCAGTTTTGGTTTTATTGACTTATTTCTTTAGTTTTGGGGTGCTGGGGATTAAACCCGGAACCTTTGCTGTACTACTGAGCTACACCTAGAGTCTTTCACACATGCTTCAAGTAATTTGGACAAATGTATCATGAGAAATAAACTTATTTTTGTGATTATTATATGGTTCAAACTAGGATTAAACATGAAAACTAAAGGCTAGATTAGATGTTTCTTTTCATATAGTCCATGTTGTGTAATTAAGATAAACAAAAAAATCTTCCTTTAATAGAAACATGGTTTTGTTTATACACTCTTATCCAAGACACGATTATGCCATTTCTCACCATTAATTTTTAAACACGGTAAAGCAGGCTGGTATATTTACATACATTACAGATAGAATGATAAAGCATATTTTTATCTGATTTTTATATCCAGAATTCAATAAAAATTTCTCCTTGAATAACAGAATTCTGCAGGGGCTGCTATACACTGGACATGAAGAGGAAGCTTAGCTTTACTATAGTCTGAGCTGGTGTAACCTAACTAGCTAGAGGATATGCAATTCCTGATTGACAGCAGGACCAGCAGCATGCAGATTTTGCAAGGGAGAACACCCAGCTCAGAAACAGTGATTAGAGCTCTGTTTGGAATCACTACGTTCGCCCCTCGTGTATTCTAGCTTTCGGTCTGCTAGATTTGTAAACACATAGCACAAAACAGTTCCTCTTTTGTTTTTATTAAAGTGACACTGCAGTGCTGTTTCAGTCCATCAGCCAGGCATGCATGTGTGGAAATTTGATATTCTCACTAAATTAGCTAATTTTAAGCTGTGTTTTATGCTTATCTCTAGACCTTTGTGCATTAAATCCTATCTCGAGCTGCTCTCTTTACACACAAGTGTGTTTTGCTTGTGCTTTCCTGTCTTCTGTGAGAAGCTTTATGTAGGTCAGGCTTGGCTTAAGCAGCTTTCCTGAACCTGCGTCAGCTTAAGCTGGAGGAATTTTAATAAGCCCTCCCCTGTAGGCGTGGGCCTAAATGAGGCTAGCCTAGTTAAGCCTGATCTTTCTGTTTGTGGAAAGAGCTGAGCAGAGCTGAAGGCTGCATGGTTTCAGAGGCTGCCTACTTCATTTCAAAAGAACAATGGTAGGAAAGGCTAGATCTTCCAATTTTACCTTGTCTGAAAAGCTTGATTTGCTAAACCTTGTGAAGCCATATGTGAAAATTCTCGAAGAACACACTAATAAAAATTCAGTAATAGTGGAAAAGAATAGATGTTGGGATGTCATAGCAGTTAACTATAATGCAATTGGAGTAGATCGCCCTCCTCGAACAGCTCAGGGCCTACGCAGCCTTTACAAAAGGCTCAAAGAATATGCCAAACAGGAGCTATTGCAGCAGAAGGAGGCCCAATCTGACTTTAAAAGCAATATTTCCGAGCCAACTAAGAAAGTTATGGAGATGCTTCCCCAGATTTCCAGCTTTTGCCTGATAAGAGACAGGAACCACACACAAAGGTAAGCCTTATTTTATTTCGTTGTGGGAATGATGGCGCCTCCTGTCTATTGGGCTCTGGCTTAGTTGTGACTGAGATGTGCATAGTAAGCACCCCACAAGGGGAGCCCTGAATACTGTCTTTGTTTGCTTTCTTAAAAAAAAAAAAAGTAAAGCTACGAGGAATTTTTCTGTTACGCTAGATTTAAACTACTTTTTAATGTCGTTCCCTCTTTGATTCCTGTAGTTTCTAAAAGTAAAGGTTAGGGAGGTATTAATGGGATGAAGCTTCTGACATCACTAAATAAACTTTTAAAGATGTCATTAGCATGCAGTGTACAAAATACTGGATTTCATTATGACATTTTCATACATATATATTATATACTTTTATTATATCTCTAACTTTTTAAGCCTTAAAATTAGACTACGTGCTTCTGAGATACATTATTCTTATTTAAGATTAAATTTCATTGAAATATGGTTTTTGACTTTTAATATAGAATCTGTATGATGTTAGTAGTCTTGAAGCAAATGGAAACTTTGTTTTTTATAAATTACTACTGTGTATGTTTCTTGAATATGCATTGGACAAAACTTAAAATCAATCTCATTAATGACATGGTTGTGTATGTGAAGACTGTTGTTTCTCTAATGTATTTGAAATTGATAAGATGGAAACATTAAAGGAAGTTAACACCTAATTAAGAGGCTCAGATTATATAATAAAATGCAGTGTAATTGATCTAGAAGTGTAAATGATCTAGTTTCACTTCGATATAGGGTCATAGGAAGGGATAAACTTTCTCATACTGCTCTGTAAGTTAGAAAACTCAGTTTTAATAAGGGTACTCTGGGTTAGGGGTTGAAAACAATTTTGGTTTAGGTTTGTTCTGTATGATTATTTGCTTAAGATTCTTAAAAGCTGTTACCTGTGACTAATTAAAATTTAACTCTTGACATAAGATGAAAATGGCAGCTCCATTCTTACACTAAATCATTTAGGGTAATTTAAACGAACTGTAAACTCTTTGCAAGTTGACGGGCCTTTCAAACAAAGGTTCAGTGTGCTTTCTTGCTCCAGGAGAGGCATTATATAAGCAAAATTGCTGATTACCTGTGAAACTTTTGAACTTAGTAGAGAAATAAAAGAGGAAAGCTTTTTAGCTGAGTCTATCTGTTGTTTTGGTAACTTATTAGGAGATTATTTTATTTTATTTTATTTTTTGAGCTTTTTACCCTTTACTGCTTATTTCTGCTTGGCAGCACAGAATAAATAAATAAATAAATAAATAAATAAATAAATAAATAAATAAAT